TATATATATATATATATATACCAATTTTCAGAGAAAAGGAGCTCGTTCTTTCGTATTCTCTGTTATATTATCCTTCTATATAACGGGGGTTTAGTAAAGGTTTTGTTTAACATATATATATATATATATATATATATATATATATATATATATATATATATATATATATATATTATAAATACTACTTTTCAGAGAAATGCTCACTCTTTCTTTCGTATTTTCGGCTATATTATCCTTGGGCTTTGGTAAATGTTTTTGTTTAATACTCAATGAAAAAATGTTGGCTTCGAGTACATCATTACTATTTATGGTATTAGGAAAGTTTTAATCCCAACCAATTGTTTCTTCTTTCAACTAAAGTAAACTCAGAAGATAAACGAAGCATTTGTTTATTTTTGATATCTTTTTGCTTTTGAAGGGGAATCTCCCCGATAGTTAATAGCGCCGGCTAGATAAATCCCGCTGACAAATCAAATTCATTCTTGAATTCTATTTTTCATCACATGTTCCAGTCTTCAATGCTAAAGAATTGGTTAATGGCGCCAAGCTCCGCTGAGAAATTTAAGATAATTGACGCCCTAAAAATTAAAACTCTAACCATTTATATTTAAGTTAATATTGAAACAGAATTAGAAAAATAATAAATTCAAAGACTACTGAAAATAGATATTTCGTTAAAAGGAAAATGCCCTTTAATCTCTACCGTTTTTAGAAATTAAAAAAAAGGCGTTGGAATCAAACGTACGAATTTCTTTCATTTAATACATTTCTGAGGTTCATTCACCGCCAAACTGACTCCAAGAAATTTCATGCTGAAGGTTTAATCGGTAAAAGTTGATAATGGAATCTGGATTTGGTTGATTCTAAATGAATTGCGCTCATTGAAAATAGGAGAGAAAAAGGCTGATTTTGGTTTGAAAGGTTGATTGTCAGAGCGACAGGCAAAACAAATCTTATTTTAGATTCCAATTTTCTTCCCATCAAGAAGCTTTTATATTTTTCCCCTACTTCCGTCATTAGTTTATTCCGACTTATTGTCTTCTGATGACGTCTTGCATCTCTTTATTTCAATCTCCACATTTTATTTCCTTGATTCCTAGCAGGTCTTATCGATCTCAGATATACAATATTTTTTTTTTAATTTTAAATTAGCTCCTCCTTTTCGCGAAAACATCCCATTTTCCTGAATTTCTTTATTTGGTTTATCCGTCATTTAATAACGAATCTGCCATTTTTATTTGCTTCTTTATTTTTTTTAATTAATCGATGTCATTTGTTATTTTTCATATTGTATAACTTTTTATATGCGTTTCCTATTTTTTCTTCTTTGAGAATTGTCATATTTTATTATAATTTCCTTCATAAACTTTTGTTTACTTCTCAAATTCTTTATTGCAATTGTTGTATATTTCGTTTTCTGTTCTTTTCTTTAGATATTTTCTCATTCTTTATTCCTTGCATATCACTCTTGTATCGTCTTCAGTTTATCTCAATTGCTGATTCCAATTTTGTATTTTTCTTCTCCGAATTAATTGTTTTACACGTTCTTCCATCTTTCTCTATCTACTGTTCTCCAAATATGCCTTTCTTTCTTTGTAATTCGAACCCATATATGCCACCCAGAAATACATCCCACACAATGCTAAGGCGTTATTTGTAATGCTGAGTTCATGTAGCTAATGCCTTACCATTATTCAGGATATATATATATGCTAGGTATTTCTAATAAAACTTCTATAAATTTTTACCTCCTAATTATTTGTTATTTTATTCTTTCTGGCATTTTTTAAAAATTATCTTGATATTTAACTTTTTATATACACTGTATTTTTCTTCTTCTTCCGTCTGTTTTATTCTTGTTTTTTCTTCTTTTTTTATAATATTTGTTTCTTTTTTTATTAATCTCCATCTTTCTTTCGAGAATGTTTGCCTCTTCTCTTTCTTCGTTAATATTTGTCTTTGCTTTCTTCCTTTTTCTTCTCTCGTTCCATCAGTTTAGTAACCACACTCTATTATTCTTTCTGACTTTCTATACTTTCTTTGGTTCTTTCAAGAGTACTCCTTCTTCGTGTCTTATCTTCAGGAATTCATTCCTTATTTACGTAAACATTAATCACCCTTTTTATTTCTTTATAGTTCCTCCATTTCAGTTTTAATCTTCTTTTCTTATTTCTTACCATAACATTTTTTTTAAAAAAAGTGTACTTTTTTTATTTTTAATTTCATGTGAAATATAACAGCATTTTAATTATGAATTTATCTAAAACGAGATAACATCCGTAAATATTTTCAATCTCTTAAAACTTTATACACAGGGGAATACTTATTTTTAAAAAAAGGCAATTGTTTGCGAAACATGAAAAAATAAAAATGCAAAATGATAACGGTTGGGTAAAGTAGAAAGCGACTGGATGATTGAAAGCCGCAGAGAAACTTATGTAGCTACAGATATACGGTAAATTGTTCGCTAAATGGTAAATGCTTGGAAGAGTGTAGTGTCTATAGAGCAAAAGTATACGTAATAGAAAGTCAAGGGTATATAATTTCAACGGAAGGAACATTCTTAACCGACTATTAAAACCATCAATCATCCCTGAAATTAGTAAGGTATAAAAAAAAGCACAAGACTTGCTAGTTATATGGTCAATAAAGGAAAAAAAAAAGGAAAATCCAGTTATAAAATGGGATATGATGAGTAAAACCTGTGTATTTATTAACGGGAATAAAATGCGTAAATTATGCCAACAGCTGAAATTGGCGATAATACTGACCAAAATAAGCTGCAGAAGTATATGTCGGAGGTAATGACGGCGTGCTGGAAAATTGTTCTTAGCAATTTACGAATCCATGTAGGAATATTTAACTGATTCATATTTGCCCTCCCCATAGCCTTTTTTTCTTTTCTCCTCCCCTTTATCATCGGTATGCGTATATATATAAGAGTGTAGCAAAACCAGAAATAGTGCATTTGAACTCAGATGCTTTTCCAATTCTCAAAACATCCATATCCGCTCTGTTTTAACCGGAAGTCCTACGTGGCCGAACCGGTTAAGCATATCAGATATAATGAGAGTTCTCCATAGGGGATGCAGGTTCGAATCCTGCCCGAGGACGCATGTTTTCTGACAAGCTTACTGGGTTATTCAGGCTGGTAATTCTAATTAAAGATTAATGTTTAATTAAATAAAAAGAGGATTTACTCGAATATGAGTAGCCATCTAAAATAACTTTTAAGCAAAGAAAAATGAATCTATGAATTTATATAATGGACTCTCGATATATGAGGATCTGACAGCTTACTTGATTCAGTTATGACATTTTGTGCGATAATCTTAAGTGGCACTTAACCCCGCTATAGATTTACAAAGGAGGCCACATGAGGAGCAAGAGTGAGGATTGTGAGATGAGATCACTGTTAGATTAACTGACCTTTTAGATCCTGCTCACGATTCTTGAAGATGATTCAGACAAGCAGATTGAAAACTGCTGAGTGCACTAAAACACGTTGATCTCAATTCTACGCGCTCCAAGGCTAAGCGCTGAAAGGGTTATGAGGTATATTGACAGTTGATAATTTGTTTTTCAGCTTGTCTTTGTATCTTAGCCATGGGCATCCTACATTGTTGTAGCCATTATTTAACTGGCTTTACATTGGGATCTTGGGTATCCTGTCATCAGATATTCTCAAGACATGACCAGTCCACCGTAACTGAGACTGTATGAGAAAAGTCTCGATTCCTCCAATATTACACCTATTAAAGAGGTCTATATTAGATGTCCTATCTTGAAGTTTAACTCCACACATTACACGCAGACAGCTTTTTATGGAAACATCCAGTTTATGAAAATGGACCCACGACTGAATGAATCTATCTATCTATCTATCTATCTATCTATCTATCTATATATATATATATATATATATATATATATATATATATATATATATATATATTCATTCAGTCGTGGATTCACACACACACACACACACACATATATATATATATATATATATATATATATATATATATGTATAAATTTGTGTGTGTGTGTGTGCAGGACGCTATTATTGTACTTTACGTATAAAATCCTTTTTGTGTTATATATTGTGTTATTTACCAACATGTGATTTCAATGTTTCCTGCCTTCATTTTGTTATTTAGGTCTATATTCTGTTACCGTTCAGCAGATTTTTTAGAATGTAAAATATTTGGGATCTTTACCACAAATAATGTCTTCATAAAATTATAAAATATGATTTAGCAAAATGGCGTTTTTGATATGGATTTTGCAAATAGCCGATAAAGAAACATGATATCCACCGGAATAATAGAATTTTGACCGCTTTCAAAGTGGGATTAATGAATAGAATTCCTTAATATAGTGACAAAATGGAAAATCGATATAACGCATTTCGCGTTTTAAAAGGATTTCAGCAAAGTAAAATAATGGTCTTGTTGATAATATTATATATAAGTAAGGGAAGGTGATGGAATTAGATTGTTGGAATTTTATATAAATAAGTAGATTACGATTATGCTCCAAGATGAAAATTTACAAATTTTGATGTACGACGCATCAAGATGGCAAACACTGTATCCATTGCATTTTGTTTCCCCGAATTTTAATTATTTTTGCTTTCATCGTTGTTTGCCTCTGCGAAAACAGAAGACATGTTAAAAACGTGAAATACTGAAAAGGCATGAACGCGCATGTACCGTTAATTACTCAGAAATCATTAACGCTTGAATAAATTACTTTTAATTAAAATATCTTTTTTGAGTAAAAATTTTGGTCAGCTTTATAGGATTCCCGGTTAATGCATTGAATCTTTTGCAAAACAACTCTTTTGTATTCGTATATATATATATATATATATATATATATATATATATATATATATATATATATTGGTACCTTAAAGTGGTCTGTTTTTCTTTAATAAATATATATATATATATATATATATATATATATATGTGTGTGTGTGTGTGTGTGTGTGTGTACACGTATATATATATATACATTTATATGTATACATACATATATATATATATATATATATATACACACACATACATGCACACACACATATATATATATATATCTTTATATATATACATATATATACACACAAACGTATATATACACATTTATATATATATATATATGCATATATATATATATATATACACACATATATTATAATACACACATACATACATATACACACACACACACACATATATATATATATATATATATATATATATATATATATATATATATATATATATATATATATATATATATATATATATATAAAGTCATCCACAGACAGACTGTTTCGCTGTTTCACAGCTCTTCAGTGTGGCTAGACATACGGGTGCTAGGATCGAAACCCGACTGAATTCGCTTTTGCCGAATCTCTCGTCGGGTGGTTTCCTTTTTTTTAAATGCATAAACAAAATAATTTTCAATCAGAGTTCAGAAGTAGTTATTGTATCTTTCATGGTCAACATGTTTTAGCTTGAACATCCTTGTATTATAAACTGTTTTATGATAATTAATATTTCGTACAATAAGTATTTGTCTGCTTTACTTGTCAGCTGAACATCCATTTTTTAAAATTTAATTTAATGGCAAATTGTCAGTTGCTGACGACTGAACTTGATTTAAAATTTTTCCATCATCAAATATTTCATAGTGGTAATTTCAGAACGATATTTCACACGGATACTACTAATGAAATTTACAATATTAAATCATTAGTCATTTCAAGTCCAATTAGAAAATTAAAAAAGTAAAATATAGCATACTTCCCACAAAATCTCTTTATTCAATTACATAGCATGCATTGTTTTTATCAACTCTTTCCCATCGTTTCTATAAGTTTGTAGGTGATTGTTTCGTAGTAATTTCATGTTTTTGTTGGAAGAATGTTGGGAGATTTTTTCCGACTGAATATTGTATGTCGTTTAAATTATTCTGTCGAGACAGGAACAAAGGGACATCCAAAAGAACCAAGTCAGAAGAATATTGCGGGTGCTTGAGGGTTCCAACTCTTTAAGATTCTGCAACTACTTTTTTTGCAGTATGCATTGTCGTTAAAAATATGACACCTTTTCGATTTGACAAAATCGGCCGTTTGTCTTCAATAGACCCATTGATATTGGTCATGTTGTCACAGTACTTCTTTGCAGTTATTATTACAGCCTGTAAGAAGACCAAAAAGTTATTTATCCCTGTGCAATCCCAAGGAATGGACATTAATACGCCCAATGAATTCAAGCCTGTTTTAGCAACGGTTTCTGCATATTCGAATGTTTCTTTCTACCTGTGATCCATCTTTCAGCGCCTGTCATCATTCTCTCCAAGAACGGATCATTTCCGTGTCGTAACTGTAACCATGTCGCCAGAGGAATACGATCGAGCTAGTTCCGTTCCGTCAGAGAATGTAGCATCCACGTGTTGAGTTTAGAAACGAACCCAATTCTGTCAGCATTTGAGATATCGATTTTAAAACTCTAAGTAATCTCTTCCGTCGATACCTTCGATGTATTGTCCACGACGGTTAAGTAGAGTGTCTTCTTCGTCGTCTGAAGTTCGTCTTGAGAGTGTTTGATGTTTTAGGCTATAATCACCCTGTCGACATTAGGTGACTATATGAAAAGCTGGAGCCCGATCCCAATAAAACTTTGGAATATCTTGTCGCAGTTCCGACGCTTACTCCTGTCGGAGATTCACAGAAATTAATATGGGGAAAGTGCAACTTTTCATCCACCATATTTCAGGACCTCAGTTATGAGCAAAACGTCAAAATTCATCAAAGTGTGATTAGCTCTCAGTCAAGAACACACCCGAAATCGACATCAAAACAAAAACCAGTGTCAAGTTTCGGTGATTTTACATTAAAAAATGAAAATCGAATGCAAACCTTTATTTACAAAGACCTTATACGAAATAATTCCTTCTTCATATTCAAGCTCATTTTAACGTATTCCCTTGAAATATTTTATCATCTGGAGCAGCGGTGATGACCTTTCCCTATTAACAACAATGATCTCAGTTGTGTGCCAGCGTGATACACACTTAGGCGATCATGTGTCTTTCGATACATGACTTACGAGGTATATTTTTCCCGCAGTTGTTTGTCAGTTCTTTATACATTCGACCAGTTGCCATCAAAGTCTATACAACCCCGCCTATCCTGCTATTTACTCATAGTTGGGTGGAGAAGAATAAGACTCATATCTTTCCCAAGGGTATTAGCACGTAAGTGAATGTAATGGTTTCGACTGGAATTCGAACTCGGCTCACCGTTCCTCAAGCTGAGCGGTTAACCCTTACTCTACCCTGCTCCAACTATGACCCACGTATTTTATTTAAATAAGGGATAATAAATCCAGATCAATTTTAACATGCTTCTACGAGCCGTAATTTCTTACGATATGGGATATCATCGTTCCCCAATCCTCTTATCATTTGTACACCTTAATAGCTTTTGTCCGTTTACGAAGCCTCCGAAATAATTTATTCATTAAGCTCGTCATGCAAATCACCCTCTGACTTCACCTATCCTTCATACTCTTGATACGCCCTGTGGGTATCAAATTCTTCAAACCCTCATTCTTTTTATGTGTCCAAGATATGTTAGCTGTCACTTTCTGATTCGGAGTATTAATGTCCTTTTGTTATTTGTATTTACATAAAAATACTTATTTGTTGAAACTATTTTCGCAAATTCACATATTTCGTCACAATTAGCATGACAGCCTGACACACAGTCGGATCCTGTAATTTTTAATAATGACTGGGGGAAATATATATTTTCTTTAAACATTATATAGCAGAATTCTAAAATTGGACGGTCGATATCCAGAATATAAGAAGTATTGAATTCAATTAAAGTAGTTCATGAAATAATTTTTAGGAACTTTTCGACGATTGCTGATTATATTTTACAGTTTGTTTTATAAGTGATAATTTCTGATTTAATAGAATTCGTCTTAAATTTAATTCAGCAGAGAATAATATTTCGACTTAATTTAATTTCTTGATTTTTTAGAGCTTTAGAAAAAAAATCTCTGTATAATAAGTCAATAAAACGTGTCCATAGTCTAATAGCAATTTTCCAAGCGTAGCTTAGATGTGGCAGAAGGCCGAAAGTATGTGACACCCAGTGAGGATCAAAGTTAATACTCAGTAGGAATTGTTCTAGTGAGACAAGCTTGCTAAACATTACACCGTCGTGAGGTGCCCACGTGTCCATGACCAAATATATAAATACAAAGAATTTTACAATTTAATTTTTCATAATGATATGGATCTCAGATGGACACTCCATAGAGACACAATCACAAATAACACCGACGCGCGCACGCAAGCAACACACACACACACACACGCATATATATATATATATATATATATATATATATATATATATATATATATATATATATATATATTGAGAAACATTGAAATCAACACCCCAAACCTAACAGTCACATTTATGCTAAACACAATCGTCAGAGGCTGGGTGTTGACTTCAATTTACACTTTTATATTTACATACGCTCTTTATCGAACATTCGAGCAATCGATATATATTGCCATTGTTTATGTTAAGATAAGTTTCGTGAGCAGATATGATCTCTGTATCTAAATGGTATAGCACGTCAGAACAAATGATTGTTTGCATATGGGAATTCGTGTTCGATTTCTCTCGCAGAATGCATTTTTTCAACAATCTTCAAACCTGGCAAATGTAATTAATACTGTTTACTTAAAGAAACTGAGCATTTACATAAATAATTTGTATGTATAAACAAAACTAAATTAAATAATTTTCGGACTTAGTTATATTTTATATATATATATATATATATATATATATATACACCTAGTGACCCAGACAAACCTACCTAGGTTTCACTAAAAACAGATCGTCAGGGAAAGCTTGGCTAACGAGGCAAAAAAACACATTTTTCACGTGGTATGATTTTAGCTATCACCTATAAATATGTGTTTTTTTTTGCATCGTTGACGCTTTCCCTGACGATCCGTTTAGGTGAAACCCAGGTAGGTTTGTCTGGCTCACTAGGTGTATCTAGGTCTGCTCTACGATTGTATTGAGCTCTTTTGTTAGTTAAGTTGTTACTCGTATCGGGGTTTTTTCTTTGGGCTTCAGACCTGCATCTGTGCGATTTTTTGTCGGCAGAAGTTCATGTTTGTAGCTTTTTCTTTTTTTAAAACCTTTTTTTCCCTCGAAATTGATTTGATTAACAAATCAAAAATTCGAGGGTTTTTCGAAACGACTCTAGTTATCTATCTATCTATCTATCTATCTATATATATATATATATATATATATATATATATATATATAGAATGTATGGTGTGAATATTGCTGCCACATATAATCTGGTAATCTAGTATCTGCAACGTTATCTATCCTGACCTGTCATCTCAGCTGCAGTTTCCTACAAACACATGCTTTCACGGAAATGGTGCTGGTGATCTTTATCGTTCGCATTTCGATTTCATGAATGTAAGTGTAGTAATATAATGGCGGCTATTTCTGATAATTTTACTGTTGTGATTGGTAGATTTAACAATAGGTTGCACTTTTTCACTTGTGGGACCTCTCTCCAAGCTTCTTATCTTCATGCCAACTCTTAGTAAATCATTCTATTCTGGTGGCATTATTGCCTTGATTGCGGTGAAATTAAAAAAAATGTATAGATATGATTCTATATAGTTTAATATTTGCTAAATTTATGGTGGGCAAGTATTCTGGCTAGAGCGTGTATAATATGTGGGTACTCACGGAGATACACAGACGCCCATATATATATATATATATATATATATATATATATATATATATATATATATATATATATATGTGTAAGCAAATATATGGATATAAAACAGTATGAAAGAAAATACAGAAAAACAAAATTCTGAATATGCATTATTAATGTTAAAATAAAGT